ATTTGCGCTATTTATTTACTCATATAAATTATCGTGTTGCTATTACAACTGATATTGGTAGAAGTGGTAATGACTGTGATTACCTTACTGTTACCAGTCATTGGATTGATGAGGATTGGATAATGCAAAAGCGCATTATTGCTTATAGAATAATTAATTCACGTCACACAGGGCAGTTTATTTCTGGCACAGTTACAGATATTTATAGATATTTTTGCATTATTGATAAAATCATGTCGGTTTCAATGGATAATACTACTAGTAACACAAATATTGTAGCTTTGCTTACTACTACACTAAGTCCTGCATTTAGTAATATATTTTTTTTATGTTAGATGTATTTGTCATATTTACTATTTAATTATAGGTGATGGTATGAGAATTTTAAATATTGAAATTGAAAAGGTTAAAATGACTCTTAACTGGCTTTTTTATTCAACCCGTAGAAGTAGACTTAGAGAATATTTTAAAAGATGCGATGAATTTGGCCTAAGAGAAAGAAAGGTTCATAAACCTTGTCCAACTAGATAGAATTACATGTATGAAAGTTTAGTTGTTGCATATGAATATAGAAACCACATAAACTTAACGTTTAATGCTCATGTAAGTGATGATGATGAGCACCTTACAAATGCGGATTGGGCTAATATTAAAATGCTTGTAGATTTTTTAGAAATTTTTTTTATTGCTACAAATAAATTTTCTGGGCAATATTACCATACTATTTCTAACTGTTTAGTTTATATTGCAGAATTTGCAAATTTGTTTGCTCATTTTTCAGAGGGTGGAGAAATTTTTCAACTTGCTATTGATTCTATGAGAAAAAAAGTTTAAAAAATATTTTTTTTCCCTATTCCCCCTATTTATGATGTTGCTGCCTTGTTAAATCCTATTATGAAATTAGGAGGTCCTCAATTTTGGTATGAAACTGTTTATAAAGGGTTTAGCACTTGAAGAACCTCAATTAAAATAAATACTGAAACTATTTATAATGCTTATCAAGTTGCATTAGATCAGGCTAGACCAAATATTTCAACTCCTTCTTCTTCTGATTCTTAATCATCTAAAAGAACTGCAAGAGTAAGAGCACTTAGTGCTTGGGCGGGTTTCGGGGGTTCTCAAGGTTCTACTACTAGTAATTTTTCACAACTAAATGAGCTTGAAATTTATTTGTCACAAGGAATTGAGGAAGTGAATCCTAACGGCTCCTTTAATATTTTGGAATGGTGAAAGGACAAAGAAAAATACTTTCCGATTCTTTCAAGGATGGCCCGAGATATTTTAACTATTCAAGCTTCAACAATGGCATCAGAGAGCGCTTTAAGTCAAGCAAGACTTCAACTCGGTGATTATAGAGCATCTATGAGGGAGAGCTTGGAAAAATCAGTACTTTTCAGAGATTGGATCCGTTCGGGAAGGAGAAATTTTGGACTTGCTGAATCATAACCAGAGGTAGACGAAGCTTACGAAGAAATGCTAGTTGAACTTACGGAGGATGCTGCTTCGCCCAGAAGCGGCGATGACCAAGCTACTTTTTCGCCACCGCCAACAGAAATTCCTCGGACCTTGATGGATTTATGAAGTTTGTAAGAGATACCATGTAACTTATATGAACAAAAATTAGTATATATTATGTAACTTGTATTTTGGCACATCTTGATTAGTTTTTTTCTTCTTCTCAATGGTGGTATTAGCACCTTGTTGTGCTCATTCCATAGGGGGAGAAAGACTAAGAAAGATATTGCCATATTTTTTTTAATGCTATAATAAAATTATAACGTATTGCTTTGAATATCTCTTTACAATATTTTTATCTTTAAATTTGAATTAAAAAATTTAGGTCACATATAATTTACAAGGAATTACCTTAGATATTTTTTATTACCATATTTTTTTCTCTAACTTCTATAAAAAATTTTAAAAAAATATCCGTTGGGCCCACTTAGCCCGTTTAAGCCCGGGTTTAAGCCCGGGACCGGCGCACTTAGCCCATTTAATCCCCGGACCGGCCCACTTGTCAGCTTTATTACACTTTGTTCTCCTTATCTGATTTGGCTGCTGCATAACGGGATGGGTTTGGGTAGTACATTTATGTCCCACAACCAAACATTTATCACAATAAACAGGTTTTCAGTCGTAGGTTACAGAGTGTGGAAATTTCTTTCCATAAGGGTCCATAACCATGATTTCAGTGGGCAATTCTTTTGTAACATCAACTTCAATAAGCATTTGAGCATAGGATACTCGAGTCTGCTTAGTAGTACACTCATCAACAAAGACAAGGGTCTCTATTACACTAGCAATCCTGCTCAAAGAGCCAACTCCCCAGCACGACATAGGTAATTTAAGAAACTTTACCTATAGTGGCATAACAGTAGGGAATTCCTCTGTGAAATCAAAATCTGGAGTCCATGGTTTTAGGATGATGGCTTATTATCAATTGAGTAAGGACCAACACATAATATCTCTCGTGCATCTGCTGTAGACTAAAATTTAATGATATAATAGCCTTCATCATGATAGAACAGTTCAGGTTCAGTCACATGAGCCCAATGCAACTTGATGTATCGCCTCATTGCATTATACCCTGGGCCATCACCTATGATATATGCTAGCAGTGCACATCTCCATATGTTCTCTTCCTCTTCTACTTCTATCTTATCTAATTGAACCGTAGGTTGACCATCAATAATTTGTGGCGGAATATAGGATAGTGACATACCATTGGTGGCAAATCGATTCTTCTGAAACAGAGTTATCCATGGGGCTTTAGGTCTAGTAGACTCATCAGCCACTACCACCTCTATCCCTGTTGATTTCTCCACATTACCTTGGATATTTACTTGATTTTGAGCTTGATCTATCAGGTTTACCATTCCATTGACTGGCACTGATAGGGAAGATGCAAATTGACTACTTGTCACTGGGGTGTTCAGATCTAGCCTCTTTGAGATACCAGGGTTCAGCGATGAAGAGCCAATTTCACATGCAGTACCTCCGATTGGAGCTGAATCTACAATGGGGACAGATGTTGGCGTAGTTATCTCTTGCGTCGATTTCTCCATCGGTGGTTGACTACGAGTTACCACCAACCTTACAAAGTTAGCTAAGGGTTGCTTCTTAGGTCGACCACGTCCTCTAACTCTCCCTTTCGCCATGGCTGACACAGGCGGCGTACGTTAATTCACGTGCGCCGGGAGCATGGTATATATACAATATAAACCATGTAATTTTATATCATGATTATTCCAGGGAGTACTTTCTTATTAAAATGATCAAAGATATATTATTACCATTGGTATACATAGTATTTCTCATTAAAATAGCATATTCTTAAAAAGATCACATAAGGTATATTCTTACGTTAATATTTATATACATTGCATTTCTAAAATTAAAAAAAAATTATACCAGATATGTGCTAATATATTACCTTAATACCATCATAACATATATTGAGTTATACTATGTATATTAATACATTAGTATACCTCTAAAAATGAATTATACCATGAATATATAATATTATACTTACATAAAAATATAATATAATTGAGTTATACCATGTATACTACCTTTTCTCCTATATTAATACAATAGTATAAACAGAATTCCTCTAAAAAGTTATACCAAATATATGTATAATGAATAATTGGATATGTAGTATTAGTTTCATAATGATTAAATGAGTGTAACAATTAAGAAATGTAATGAAAAATATGAGAACATAACTAAATCTCTAATTTAAAATAGGAGAGAGAGTGTGAAAAGACAAACACCCCATATTTTGTGCATTTTGGCTCTCATTAATTATGTACATAATCTCTATCTGCCATTAATGTAAAAAAATTTACCATTTATGAAATAAACAAAGAGTAGTATTATTTTCTTAAATATTTTTTTAAAAGTTATCAACCGTGTATTTTATCCCATTTTAAACTTGAAGAATTAACCCAAATGGCCGCCTACCTAATCTTTTAAACTAAAAATAGCCTAAAGATGTATATTATATATATAATTCATGTATAATATATGTATAACTATGTCTAATCAATGTATAATGTATGCATACCGGCTAAAAAAAGTAAACATTACATCTGACCGGCTATTTACGTAACAATCCCTTTAAACTTTAAAGGCCCTTTAATTGATGAATTGGGCTAATAAAATCTATAGCCCAAGTGGGCAAGTTTTGGGTTGGGGCAGCACATTTTAACACTTCAAGCTAGTAATGAGTTTCAAAATTTAAAGGTGAAACTCCATGATAATCATCTAAATTTTTTACCTTCGAAATTTAAAACTGCATCATTTCAATTGTAGGGGCTGAAAAGTACTTTTAAATTTTTATCCATTAAAATGTATTTGAACGTGAACTTGGCTTTAAAAGAAAAGTGTGAAAGCTAAAGATTGTAAATGAAAACTAATATGTAATTTGGTCCGTAAGCATTTGGACAATATTTGGTTGAAGTTAAAAACAAAAATCTAAAATTGAGGTTGAAAAAGCATATTCAAAAATATTCACTGACTGCTGAGAAAAATAATAATTGAGAAAATAACTTACTTTCACCTAGTATTTGCAACAAACTATTTGAATATTACTATGATTAAATAACAAATTAACGTAAAAATACATACAAATTTAACCATAATAAGGCAATACATAATAAAACGCTACTATATAATTATTGGTTTGATATAAACAATATTTGAGTCGGACCTAAAGCCCGTTAGGATTGGCTTAAAAAAAAGTAAATTTTCAGCATAAATAGCTATTAAGCCAAAAAGCAATAAGTTGGGATTGTCCAGCTTATTGATTTAGGTTTGTTTTAAGCAGTTTTTAACTTATTTTAAACACTTTTTAACTTTGTCAATCGCTTAAAAAAATTAAAAAAACTTAGAAGCTGATTTGACCCGCTTAAAAGCCGATCCAAATAGAGGATCCTTCGAGTCCGACCCATTGAAAAAACGGGTCCGGATTCCGGGCTAAGGATCCAGCAGTAAACACAACACGCAGCTACCTTCTTCGCCGCTCGCTTCTTTGCTTCTCTTCTTCTTCTTCTTCTTATGTGCGTACAGTTGCCAAAATTCAATACCCATCTCGGGTAACTACGCCGTCAGTTTCAGGAACCATTCGTTTCTCTTCAATACCCAAAACTCAATGCATGTTTTTCCTAATTTTTCTCTTTTACAGAATGATCCTTTATTATGTTAGAGCTTCAAAATCCAATCTTAAAGATTTCAACTTTCTCTTTTCTTCCCTCAAACGCTTAATCTTCTATTCATCTCATTTTCAATACCCATCTGACTTAACAATCACAAATATTAGAGCTAACAGTAATGATATTGACAATATTAAGAGGAGTTATAATAACAATAATGGTGCTATGGCTGATAATCCCATTAAAAATTCAGACTTTAAGGAAATTTTCTTAAAGAAAATTGAAGAAAAGAGATGGGATTTTGATGAGGAATTTTGGGTTGTTCCAGATTGTTTTAATTCTTTGATTTATGATTCTGATTTGTTAGTGAAAACTCTTAGCTCAATTCGTCGTAGGCCGAATGTGGCGTTGAGATTATTCAAGTGGGCTGAAGGGCAAAAAGGGTTTAATTATTCAGAGTTTGTTTTTTGTACTATTCTTGATATTTTAATACAGAATGGTTGGCTTAAATCTGCTTATTGGGTGGTTGAAAGGGTGATTAGTTGTAATGTGCATAGAGTCGTCGATGTTTTGGTCGATGGGTATTTGAATTTGCAAGTTTCTGTTGAGATACTTAATCTTTTCTTGAGGGTTTACGCGAAGAACGCGAATGTGGAGCAATGCTTGTTAGTTTTTGAAAAGATGTTGAGGAATGAGTTGTTGCCTGATGTGAAGAATTGTAATAGAATTTTAAGGAATTTGAGGGATAGGAATATGGTTGCGAAGGCAAGAGACGTGTATAGGATGATGGACAAAGTCGGGATAAAGCCGAGCATAGTTACTTATAATACGATGCTGGATTCGTTTTGTAGAGAAGGCGAAGTGCAACAGGCTGTGGATCTTTTATCGGAAATGCAGAGGAGGGAGTGTTATCCAAATGATGTTACGTACAATATCTTGATTAATGGGTTGTCGAAGAAAGGGGAGTTTAACTTGGCTAGAGGTTTAATTGGAGAGATGTTGAATAAAGGATTGGAGGTTTCGGCTTATACATATAACCCTTTAATTTATGGATACTGTGAGAAGGGAATGGTTGTTGAGGCCTTGGGCCTTGGAGTGGAGATGGAGGTAAGAGGAGCTTCACCGACTGTGTCTACTTATAATACATTCATTTATGCGCTTTGCCAGCAGGGGCGAGCAAGTGAAGCAAGGCAGTGGTTTTCTGTCATGTTGAAGAAGAATTTGGTGCCGGACATAATGTCATACAACACTTTGATTTATGGATATTGTCGATTGGGGAAAACTGATGATGCCTTTTCATTATTACATGATTTAAGAAGTGGTGACATTTTTCCTACGGTAGTCACCTATAATACAATTATGGATGGACTCTGTGGAAAAGGTGAGTTAGAGGATGCTATGCAGCTGAAAGACGAAATGACGAGATGCGGTATCTCTCCTGATGTGTTTACTTACACGATTCTTGTTCATGGTTCCTGCAAGGCGGGAAATTTACCATTGGCAAAAGAACTATTTGATGAGATGTTACACAAGGGGTTGGAGCCGGACTCCGTTGCCTACACAACTCGAATAGCAGGTGAACTGCGGTTGGGTGACATGTTGAAGGCGTGCAAACTACAAGAGGAAATGTCGGTGAAGGGATTCCCACCAGATATAATAATCTACAATGTATTTGTTGATGGCATCGCTAAGCTGGGTAATCTAGAAGAAGCAACTGAGTTGTTACATAAGATGGTTGGCGACGGACTTATGCCTGACCATGTAACATATACCAGTGTAATTCATGCCTACCTCGAATTTGGGAACCTAAAGAAAGCCAGAGAGTTGTTTGATGAGATGATAAGCAAAGAGATATCTCCAACAGTTGTAACTTACACAGTGCTGATTCATGCGCATGCTGGTAAGGGGAGGCTTGAACTTGCACATATGTATTTTTCGGAGATGCAACAGAAGAGCATTCTGCCAAATGTGATTACCTACAATGCGCTGATAAATGGCCTTTGCAAATATAGAAGAATAAATGAGGCTTACAGTTACTTTGCTGAGATGAAAGCAAGAGGAATTGGCCCTAATAAATACACATACACCATTTTGATAAATGAGAACTGTGATTTGGGTAACTGGCAAGAGGTTTCGAGACTGTTCAAAGAGATGTTGGATATAAGGATCCAACCTGATTCTTTAACGTACAGTGCGATGTTGAAAAATCTCGGCAAAGATTGTAAATCACATGCCATGGAATACCTTGACTTCATAATTTTAGGTGATGAAGGCACTGCTGAAGCAAAGAGTTGAGCAATCCGTGAACGACCACTGGAATTCTTGAATGACTACCTTCAGTTCTTGAACTTTGATCCGAAGGTATAACACCGTGAGCTTCGTGCAGACACCTCTGTAATAGCTGCTGGTACGTGTCTGGTATATGCTATTCTGACCTCTAATTATTTTAATCATTGTTCTCCACCATGCATTTACTACTTTTATATCCTTTTATTAGGTGAAGCAGATAGAACCTGTCATGGTTCATTTTGGATTTGGGCCTACTTCATATTTGGTGTAAGATTGCTGAACCTACTTTGCCTTTCTCTTCAAATTAATGCATGGATCTTTGAATAAAATTTTCATTCATATCTCTCTCTATCATCTAATAAGTGGCTCTTAATTTGCCCTTTCCTCGTTTTTGTTCCCTCTGTTTCCTTTCTCAAAATTTTGTCGCAATTTTACTTGCATACAAGCCTAATAAGTAATAATCTGCTCCAACGTCATGGCTGAGTATCTGATCTAAACCTTTTTTCAAAGGAAATTAAGACCATGATGCTAGATATTAGAGGCAAAAATTTAATTTTTTGTTGTTGAATGTCACCTCCTATTTTTTTCTTTGCAGGGCAAACACAAAAGTCTATGCACATTTCCATATAACACAAAACTCAATTGCAGGTTAGTGGTATTTAATTTCAGTTGAGGGTCTCAAATGTTATCAAGTTTCCATTTTCTTGGGCTTTCCTTGCATTTATGTTCAGTTATTGGTCTGTCTTCCTGTGTAACGATTCTAATTTTTGGAAACACTAAAGATATATGGTAGACTTGCAAAAGTACTTACCACTCTCTCGTTAAATAGGACTGGGACGGGCTTATTAGCTTCAATCTACGTTGTTGCTGTCGGTTCTGTGCAGAAAGCCGGGATTGACATGTAAGATCTTGGTGCATTTGAGATACTTAAATTTTTTCAGTGAAATGCAACATCTTTTGACTTTTTTCAAGAGCGTCTTTCTATAATCTGTACTCATAGGGGCTTTTTATGCCTATTTCCAATATAAGCTGGCTGCAAGTATATGTGCTCCAAAAAGCTACATTAAGGAATGGAATGTGTTTTCTATGTTACAGAAGACAGTAGTCCAATAAGAGGCTGTGATATTCAGAGGGTTGTGGAACTGTGAATCTGAACGAAAATATGTTGGCTAGCCCTTTTACATTTGCAATTATATGATGATCTAATGACTTGATTTGATTGGTCCTGCCTTTTAAAATGAATAAATCTCTGGTTAGTCTTGCCCTCTACAAAATAGTTGTGGACTTTATGACTTTATTATCCCAGTTTTCTCCTTGGCAGTCTGTTTAAGGATATGCGTGTACTGTTCCTTTCACGAACATGTAGTTTACTTTTGTTCGTTCCTTTACCTTTTGATGGCTGGGCATTGGGTTAACGCAATAAATATCTATGCATGTTGACATGTTTGAAGTGAGACTTACAAGTACCTCTTCCTGCATTTCGCTCTTGGTTTAAGGGATTTCTTCCTTCCAACTGCCCCTGTCCCACCCCAACCAACATGGACTCTCTGTCTTTGGAAACTGCATATGTACAAAAATAAAATTATACGATTAAGGGGAAATAATACCATTTTATATTAATCGATTCAGAAATATCAAACAAATGTGACATAGTTTAGGTGATTAGGATATAGATTGGATGTGAACTCTATATCCAATCAGAAGTCGATCATTGTTTTATATGTAGAGATGAGAGGTGTCTCTTTTGATGTCTATCACACTGCATCTAAACCTTTTTTTTCGCTTTATGTAAAACCTAGCTATCTCATTTGATATGAGCTGTTTGATCATTGTTTTTCCGTACAGCAATCATGGTTTTATCCAAGCTGCAGAGGTATCAAGGAGAGATTTACGCCTTCTTCTGTGTCCTCTGAACCTGCAGAGATTCTTAAGAATGTGGTGACGTGCAAATTCTTGAAAAATTTGCGCTGGTACTTGTATAATTTTTTTCTTCATTTAATGAAATCTGAGAAACATATCCTGTATGCTTCTGTATTTAAGGTTAATTTCCTGCTTAGTTCCGCTATTAGGATTTACCTTTTTGTGGCCTATCTGACCAGATATAAAAAAATTGTCAGGTCAGTGGCACGTGTTGCTCCGATCCCTGAATATTTCTACACAAATGTCAAAGCAGTAAAGCAAATAATGCAACATACTCTGGAAGTCGTGAGTGGTGGATAAATGATCGTTGAGGATAGTGCTATTCTGGTTGAATCTGCCATATCAAATTCAATCATTTAAAGCGTGGTAATAGTTACTTACCTGAGGCCTTTTAAAGTCTAAGTTGTGTCATAAAGTTTCACCCTTTTCATGTGGCATGTTTGTTGGTTTACATGCTTCCCACTGGTTGGTGCTATGCCTTCTTTTTTTTTGGTAAGTATGCCTGTTTTTATTTTATTCTTCTATTTTCCAAATGTTTCCTGTTGGCCAAACTAAACATGTGTCCACACAAACATTTACTGAGTTAAGTATTCCTGATTATTTAATCCCAATTTCAAAGGTGCGCCGATCTATCGTTGCATTAAACTTATGAGTCATGCAATAGAACTTTCGGAAATAGTGATAGAATGTAGACTTAGGGACACTACAAGTGCAATAGAGAACTAGTTTACATCTTTATGCATAGTAGATCTACGATGGGAGGTATATTCTCGTGAAGAATATTCATGAAAATTTATCACAAGAGGAAAGATCTATACATGTTCATTGACCTAGAGAAAGCATATGATAAAGCACCAAGAAAAATCTTTTGTTGGGTGCGGAAGAAGAAAGAAATTTATATTGGATATATAAATGTCATAAACGATATGTATGAAGGAGTAGTCACTAGTGTGTAGTAGGGGATGCAAAGGAGTACCCGTAACAATTGGTTTACAATAGGTCTCGGTATTGAACTTTTACTTGTTACTCTAGTTATGGATGGACTAGCTCGATGTTCTAGGAGAACTATATGAAAGATGATTGGTATGAAAGATGAAAATGTTACAGAGAATTAAAATAAGGTTGTTGAAAACTTGAAATAAACATGTGCTACTAGAGTGTTTTTTTTTTAAAATGATAACAGGTTTCATTGATATATAGATAAATCTCAGCGCCAAGATAGTGCTGAGAGAAAAGGTCCCTAGTTACAAGACTTCCAAAAACTAAGAGACTGATGAACAAAAACAAGTGGAGAAAAACAAGTCTTGTGGCATTTACAAGGACCCGATGAGATCAACTAGGGAATCTGCATCTTGTACTAAAGCTTCTTTACACCAAAAGTGAAATAAAGATATACAATTCATTTTAATCTTCTGTTCAGGATTTGCTGAGTCTTCAAAACATCTGGAGTTCCTTTCCAGCCAGATAGTCCACCAAATGCAGTGCTACTAGAGTGTTATGTGATAGAATGATACCTACAAAAGTGAGTCAAGTTCTATGTAACTGTTATAAGACCAGAAATGTTATATCGGAGTGAATGCTGGGTTCTAAAGTCCATCATATTCACAAGGTGAGTGTCATAGATATGCTAATACTAAGATGGATGTGAGGTTATACAAGATTAGATTAGATTAAAAATGACCATATTAGGTAGAAAGGAAAAATCTATATGGGCGATAACGATAAGATAATATTGTAGTTGCATTTCTTCCTCTTTCTAAGGTGAGTGTTCTCTCTCTAGTGATTGATATAGGTGATTCCTGGAAATGGCCACCCAACATAGAGAGCCTCCAACCTTACCTAGGAGGGGAAGAACAGATACGTCATCATAAATGAATGCATAAATCATTAAACGAGTGTTAACCACATGTTTATGTATAATCTATAGTGAACTGGTATTTCTGTGGTTTATTTAATTGGCAAGTTGAGCACTTTGTGCACTGTGGATGTTCTGTACCTTTCTTGCATTCTTATAACGCCCTGTGCTCTAAAAGTATTTATGGGCTAGTTGAGAACACAGGCCTGACATCCACATTGTTTTTTGGGTAACAGATATCCTGACAATTATTTTCCATGTGCTCTGCCTGAAATGCAGCGGTAAATGGTCAAATGCAAGTTTTGAGCTCACAGAACAATACGTGTTGCGGTGGGAGGTAGCAGGGACACAGTAAAATAGTCGAGGTGCACAAGTTGACCCGGATACCATTGTTATTCAAGATGAACGGAAAATAAATAAATAAATAAATAAAGAACTCGCCAAGAGCAATATATTTGAGAGCTGAGGCACTGTGATAAGGGCATCCATGTGCGATTCACTACAAGAATGTATACAAAATCTTGAATGGTGAAGATTGATAAGTTCATTCTTCTACTCAAACGGCATCACCATTTGATCTGCTATTCACTTAAAGGTACAGCCTTATCACCATTTGCAGACATTGATGTATTGCAAAGCAAAATTTGAATCTCAACATAATTCTGGACATTTGCAGCTTTGGCAATTTGGTTGGAGAAAGGCGGCAAGTGTTCTAATGAGAAAGGATGCATGTTTTTGAAGTTCTTCAAAGTATAACTTTCTTATAGAACTTTCTTGTACCCCATGGAATTAGTCGAGGTGCGAGCAAACTGGTCCAGGTAGGGGTAAGGTTTGCGTACATACTACCCTCCCCAGACCCCACTTGTGGGATTACACTGGGTTTTTTGTTGTTGCGCGCAAGCTGATTCAGACACCACCATTATCCAAAAACAAAAAAGTAGAACTTTCTTATATGTGTTTGTTAACTTCTTGTAATTGCATTTGTTTGTACTGTATTACTTAAAAGAGCTGAAGCTGATTTTCACCCCTCACCTCAAAGAAACAGAAGTAGTTTTTTTTTCATGTTGTCTATATTGCTCATCGAAAGAAGATGCACATTCTTTTAGTTGATGTAGTGTCAATGAAACTTGTAAATATTTCCCATTATTGAGCAAATAAACAATCGATGAATTAAAATGCATTGTTTTTAATTACATGAATTATCTTTAATTTATAACTGCAAATTGTTCTCAAAGGCAATAAGTTTAAATAGAGGAGTTAACAAGGTAAACATTAATCATTAACTATGTCCTAAGTCATGCCAAATACACCAATTTAGTTTTATCGAATCTTAACTTGTGAAATACATTTGACAAGGATGCAACATATTCATTATGGGGATCTTTACAAAAATAGTAGGCCGGTTGATTTAAATAAAATATATACATATTATATGTGAATGAATTATACATGCAATATATATATGCCGACTATTGTTTTATTTTGAGTAAGTTGCTATTTAGATTAATTCTTTTCTCTCTTATGGCCAAAGCTTGGCATCCAAATAAATGGCTATCCTTTTCTTGTTTTGTGTGAACTACATTGTTCAAATTCTAAGTTAACAAATGGAAGAATATTTAGGAAATTGGAGCAAAGACAGAATTATTTAACTAGGGAATTCAGACCATTTAGGACTAAAATGCAAAATGAATATTATAAAACTAAACAATATATTCCACTGGTTATTTCAGTTCTATGAACGATAATCACATAATAATGTACGTCAAGTTAGAGACTAACCGTCAAATATTGCGCCGTCTTTTATTTTTTGGGGTTAAGGAGTAAGAAGAAATGAAAATAAAACATTTTCTTCTTTGGAGTTGGGAAGATATATTAAATACTTATGTATTTTGGGAAGATATATTAAATACTTATGTATTTTGGGAAGATAAATTAAATACTTATGTATTTGTTAAAATGAGTCCTCATAGATTAGGATAATGTATTTATCCTTCACGTCTTAACATATCATAATTATTTATTTTTTTTGTAAATTTGATTACTATATAATCATAACTTTAAGCTTTAAATATGTAAAATTATCTTATTGAGAAAATAAAAAGAATAAAATTTCCAAGATTTTCAATAATTCAAATAAATTTAATGTGATGTTTTCTTATTGCTTATAAATTTTCTTTTATTACATGATACATAAATTTATTGCATGTTCAAAAAGGAAGAAAAGTTTAAAAGGCTGAATTGAATAAGAATTAAAGGACACGTATACTCTTTTCCATAGTTTGAGTCTTTGAGTTTCTTTTTTTGTTTTTGTTTTAACCATTTGATATCCAAAATTCTGTAACTCGTCTAATTTGAATTCGTGTTGGGTAGGCTTACATACGGAATGAAGCACTCCCTATCAACAAGTTCTTTATTCTTGAGGCGTAAAACCGAGACTTTCTAGTTAAGGGTGGAGGAATCCGAACCTTTTCACGCCCCTTGGTGGTCCAAATTTGAGCTTTACAATAACAACAGAAAAAACTCAGTGTAATCTCAAAAATGGGGTCTGCGGAGCGTAGTGTGTATGCAGACCTTACTCCTACCTTATAAAAATAGAGAAGTTGTTTCCGATAGACCAAATTTGAGATTTGAGACACCAAAAAAGTGGTAAAACACTAGAAGTTAGCATTTGTATCCTAAATTGTACTTTTTCAATCTGTCGATTACTGCTAAGAAAATACTCATTAAAACAAATTAACATCAGCTAGACAACAACAGCTTAGAATCACTTAGAGATTCTCAAACTATACAACAAAGCTCCAATTTTCTTGCTAATGCTGATGATCAATTTCTTTTGTCAGCTCTTCTTGAATTTGCCTTATAAAATCTATGTCCAATCCCTCACTTTGGTTCTTCAAACCAAAGGGAATAACCCCACAAAATAATAAAAGTAAAGATAATTAAAGATGTGGTGTTCCCTTTTATCTGCTTCTACATCCCATTTTACGACTCCTTGGGGTGGGGCCCTTTCACATACTCTGTGTGAACGTGAGATGCTTCGTGTGACGGATTTTACACCCTTTCGGAGTACGGTCTTTCCTCGGACCATGTATAAACGTTATCTGCTTTGTGCACCGAGCTACCTTTTTTTTACATCCCATCTTACCATAATTAAATGTTCAATCCCAAGTGAGAATCAAGAATCCAAAAATCCTATCAATGGTAATGCTGTGAAATTGGACGTGTTAAAATCCAAGAATGGTCATGTGACAACAACTTGTGATGAAACTTTGTACATACCAATGTCACAAGTTAGGCAAAATATACCTTCAAAAAAGCAACTTGTGGATATTTATAGACAGGGATTAATTGTTGAAGGGGCATATAGACAGACAGTTGTTATAAGGTCTTATGAAGTTGGTCCTGATAAAACTGCTACAATTGAAAGCATCCTTAACTTACTTCAGGTGATCATCATTTTTTCTTCATTTCATTAATGTTAATGTTATTAATTGTTAAACTCGAACCACGAGGATAAATAGAGCGAAATGGATAGGTAGATTCATATAGCTAATCCCAACTTGTTTGGGATCAGAGGCGGACCTAGGTAGAGGGGTCACCGGCACCCGTAAAGTTCAGCAAAAATTTCATGTATACATGTATATGTCTTTAGAATATAGTGATATATTAATAGTGGGCACCCTATATACAAAACAGATTTTGGTTGAATCAAAAAGTGCACCCGCGATCTCTCAAATCCTGGGTCCGCCTCTGCTTGGGATTGAGGCATAGAAGTGTTGTATTAGTACTTTTGTTTAACTATCCGGTGTCCAGAACCTACTGGCCCGACTAATCCAAATTCGTGCCGTCTTTTTGCAGGAAACAGCATTGAATCATGTGTGGATGTCAGGACTACTTAGTGATGGATTTGGTGCTACACATGGGATGATGAAACACAACCTTATATGGGTGGTTTCAAGAATGCAACTTCAAGTGGACCATTATCCAATATGGTAAACATTAAGTACTCCTCTTATCAAACTTTTTAACCTAGTTTTTGATATTAAAAACTTTTGAAAAGTCTACTTTGTAAATGACTTGTACAACCAATTTGTTTAACAAAGTCTCACATTAGATAGCTAGTGATTTTGTTCGTATTAGTAAAGTTGGAGTTTACTAACTAGCATATATGATATTGAGGATTCATACGACCGATCTCAACTAACTTGGAATTAAAGCGTAGTTGTACTAGTAGTTGTTGTTGTAGTAGTAAAGTGGGAGTTTACTCGTGCCACGAATTCTTGAATGTTAAGTAGGAAACTTTCGCAAGTTTCATGTAGCATGATCAATTCATTACACAAACAACTTTGCTAGGAATCTTGATTTCTATTGTAGTAAAGAAGATGGTATTAGGCCTAACAAAAAGATTGAAACAATTGAAACAGGGGTGAAGTAATAGAGATAGACACATGGGTTGGAGCATCAGGCAAAAATGGAATGAGAAGAGATTGGCAAATTAGAAGTCAAGCCACAGGCCTTGTATTTGCCAGGGCAACCAGGTTTAGCTTCCAATTTAATCTTTCAACAATCTCTTTTTTCTAAGTAAAGGGCAATCTGGTGCACTAAGCTCCCGCTATGTATGGGGTTCGGGGAAGGGCCGGATCATAAGGGTCTATTGTACGCAGTCATACCCTTCATTTCTACAAGAAACTGTTTCCACGGCTCGAACTCGTGACCTCCTGGCCACATAGCAGCAATTTTACCAGTTACGCCAAGACTCCCCTCCCTCTTTTTTCTAAGTAAAACCAACATAATGTTATAACTTAATTCTTGTGTGAAACACAGTACATGGGTGATGATGAACCAACAAACGAGGCGCCTTTCTAAGATGCCAGAAGAAGTGAGGGCTGAGATCTCACCTTGGTTTATCAATAAACAGGCAATCAAAGAAGAAAATCCTATTAAGATAGAGAAGTTGGATAATACTGCTAAATATGTCCTTTCCAATTTGAAGGTGATCATGCATTTTTTTCAAGATTTCAGCAATCTCGTCGATATGTCAAAGACTCATAGTTACTAATCGTTTGATCTTTTTTCAACTTTTTTTGCAGCCAAAGAGAAGTGATTTGGACATGAACCACCATGTAAATAATGTAAAATACGTTCGTTGGATGCTAGAGGTGAAATAAACATCTAACAACATGATTCTTGACGAGAAAAAACATATACTACAATAATTTTTGGTTATGTTTTATGTGTTTTTGCAGGCTATTCCTGACCAATTTTTGGAGAGTTATCAGCTGTCTAGTATCATACTAGGATATAGGAGAGAATGTGGAAGCGCGGACGTTGTTCAATCCCTTTGTGAACCAGATGAAAAGGGACTTTTCGACGATGGATTTAATGATCAATACAAGAGAAGAATTAGTGTACTACATGGATTTTCATTTGGATCAGGAATTCTTGAGGCAAATGGATTGCTTGAGTCATTTAATCAAAGGCCATTTAGTTACACACATTTGCTTCAGATAAAGGAACAGATCAAGAATGAAGAAATTGTTAGAGGAAATACTAGTTGGAAGAGAAAGATATCTTCTATGCCATTTCCTGCATAATTTACAAGTATGATTAAAAGGGACATTTGAGTGAAGATAAAAATAAATATGGTAATTCTGAAGTAAAAGTCATAGGGGAGAATTGCAGCATAGTCTGAAGATTCAAATATCATGGATTTGCAAAAGCAGCATTTTTTAGGAAATAAGGATATTCTTAGATCAAAGGAAAAGGAAAAAGTAAACTTCTGTGCAGTGTATAGATCATAGAAAAGAACTAATACCAACAAATTATTGTTGAGTGAAAAAGTGTGTAATCATCTATATGATTATAGAAAAATCATTCTCAAATATGAGTTGGTTTGAAGAATATATATCTTTCCTCCCCTCTCCTATTGTCTCTCCCAAAAAAGCTCAGCAAATTATCATACATTTACTTTACTGATCTCATCTTTTACGAAATTGATCTTCTTTGACTGTAAAAGAATATTTGGAGCTCAGCATGTAGGCAAGCACAGGAAAATGTTAGTTTTTCGATATATATTATTACAGTTATTCATGTGGATCTTTAGCGTAAGTGGTAAAGTTATTGTCATGTGTCCACGAGGTCAGGGGTTCGAGCCGTGGTAACAATCTCTGCATCCAATAGACCCTTGTGGTCCGACTCTTTCCCGGACCCCGCGCATAGTGAAAACTTAATGTGTCCTTTTATTCATATGAATCATCCATAACATTACTATACGTTTCCTATTTACAATGTGGTTAAAAACTCTTAACTAAATGAGTATTTTACATTGAGCCAACAAGAAATTTCATTAATAACTGACCATTTTGATCTTTATATCTCTCTCCCCAAGAAAAATACATAGTTAAAATGGATGGATCTTGCTTCTTCTTTTGCAATAACAAAAAGAAAAGAACTAAGAAAAGAACAGCTAAAAGACAAGTTAAATACATAGAATTCCTCCACTTAGACACAAGCAAACAGTAAGAATAACTTGTCAACTTCTGTATTTTAGATTAGAACATTTATATTCACAAGTCAACAAGAAGAAAAGTGGTTGCATGTACTTGTCACAATTTGTACCAGTAAAGCGTTATATATTGGCGACAGCCACTTTAAGTCTACTATTTAAAATATATTCATAATTTATAATATATTAAAAGATTAGCCAATTCGCCCGAACTTCAGGACTAAATATCCTGAAATCCAACTTGAAGAGAGAGTCATACTGAAAATACTTCAACACCCTGTATAAACGAAAAATTTTGCCTGCAAAATCGAGGCAGAAATATTGCAACTCAATCAACAAGACATCTACTGACCTTTAACCTATAACCTATTGAAAAGAATTGAGATTCACTACATGTTTAAACTGTAACATCTAACCTAAAAACCAAGCATATACAATTACAAGGTAATGGGTATTTACAACATGGTTGATTCTACCCAAAAGAACGCAAAGAATGATGAACTGCAAAGGTAAACTCAGTCGCGCTTTCTCCTCATTGTTCTATGTAAATGCCACGACCACGCAGCCAACGATATCACAAGGCCAGTACCGATACATGACCAGCAAATTGCCACCCACTTGGGCATTGAGTTCGGAAATAATCCTGAAAGAAGGGGATCAAGTGAAAAACAGATAAACTAAACCTTAATCCCAGGCAAGTAGGGGTCAGTTTTATGATTCATCACTGTTCATATCATCACTGTCCATGTCGCTCCATTTAAATGAAAAATACATGAACTAATAAAATACTCTCAAAATGAAAACTCAAAATGGCATACTTACCATGTCCAAACTTGATGCAGATTAGGAGCTCAACAATGCAGACAGCCAGAGAAAGCCAGCAAAATGCTCCCACCTTTTTCACCGGTTTTCTGAATATGATAGTAGTAAACGAGAAAGTGAGAAATAAGGAAAAAATGAAAGAGAGCTTATGGGAATAGTATATATTTTTCTTTATAATGCTAGTGGTAGGGCATACCTGTCCTGTAGGTAAGAATTATACTCGCGGATTGTCGGTAATGCAATTAACCACCAGAAAACCAACCTATACACTATCAGAGGGTTTCTCGGAGGAATCCAAAGACAGAACTTCAAGAAGAATGTGTTTAATTCTACGGTCAAGAATATAACACAGAGAGTAAGGACTTGAATAAATCGCCATGGACCTAAAAGGGGATGCCATTCATCTTTATCCCAATGTGCTGGAGTAAATTGGCCAAGTGTTCGCTTGACCTACAAAACAAAAAACAGAAATTGCGTTTCTTCAACACCAAAACCATAGTGCTTCCGATATAAACTGTACCGGACATGTATAACACAACGTCGCACATCTTTTGTTCCTCAAAACCCAAAACCAAGTATACAACCAACATAGCACTTAACCAGAAATACCTTGCCCATGATATTTGGCTGTCGGCTTATACCAACCCACTCATATGTTTTTCCATCAAAATACCGAACAGTACGCATTCCAGCCCATATACCTAGATAGGATATCAAAAAAGGTAAATTTAGTGCACAGCAATTCAGGAGAACGAAACAAAATTGTAGGACCATACTCGAAGTCTCAAACTTAAACCACAGATCAGTAATTATGCAGAAAATAGGGATTTAATGTTTTTATTATCGTGACTATTTGATGTAGTCCTTATTTAATAAAATATTATAATCATATTGATGCATGTCAAGCCTCAAAAACATCATGCATGAAGACCTATTATCTCAAGTAATCTCTATACACAGGCACAATTCCTTGCCATCTGCAGTAACACAATTGTTGATGAAATAGGATGCAAATTTAGGTCATTATCGAAATTTTCTTACGAAAGATCCAGGGAATGGGGGATTCACTCACAAAAACAAAAGGCATAAATTAATAACTTTCTCCTTCTCATGATTAATTCTTCTTCTAACAGTGGTCTTTATTTACTGTGCCTCAGCATATAGTAATTCACATCAGACCAAATTAAGAAAGCAAATTCAACAACACGTGATAAACTTCATCAATCTGGGAATGCTTTCAGAATTCAAATGAACAAGCACACTTAACAGGCAAAAGATTGCACATTTACCCCTTTGATTGACTACAAATGATCGGAATTTGAGAGACCAGCACATGGAAACATCAGTGTACTAATCATAATATCCATAATCACATATTGGGGAAACCAAACACTCGTGAGATAAACAGTTGAGAATATGACATTAGCAGAGGCGGGGCCAGGATTTGAAGCTTATGAGTTCAGGATTCTAGTCGAGCTCTAAATTAACAATTTGTACATGTTCAATGGATTTTTTAAGACAAATACAGAGTTTGGATCAAATCTACTGGGTTCGGCCATATCCATCACTCGTATTCTAGCTCCGCCCCTAGACATCAGTTTACCTAAGCATGTCAAGAATGCAAATTTTACAAAAGCCCAAGACAAATGGCTTCAGGATTCTCACCGAACCAGTTGCAGATCAATATGTCAAGAATAATGCTGTCCCACCAGCATTCATTGAAGTTTGGTAACATGTGGCGGAAGGTAAGCTGAAAACATAAAGACTAATGAGGATGGAAAATATTGAACCACTTCCCTATTTGTCATTGGAAAACGAAAAGCTGGAAACCATTCAAAAGGATCTGAGAAAGGTTCTGACCTCCATCAACTCGAATCCAATGGATAGAACCCACAAAAGAGGTTGGTTACGAATCATGATGGCCTTTCCCCACCACCCTATGATATGAGCCAAAACAAACTCATCAAACAGTGTGTCCTACAGAGCAAATGTGCTAATCAGAGAAGCTGCAAATACAAGGTTTTGAAAAAAACAAATTGAAAAAAGAAAAGGTAAAAGGATTGTGAAAGAAGATATCATACATAAAGATTCTTAAACCTGTTTGCGGGATTTTCAGGTACATATATTCTGCAATCAGCACCATAGGATCTTTCAGGAAGCTCTGCACAGTAAGTTATAATATGTCAAAGCTGTAAATTCACATGGCAAAGGAGATAAACAACACGGACTTTATAATGAACTGATTCAGTCAAAATGCTATGATGAACAAGCAAAATTCTTACCAATACCAAGATCAGGATGCAGATATCTCATAAATTGCCGAGCATCATCCCGCTTCTGAGGAAAAGACAACAAAGTATTCATATCTCACAGCAACAATTGAATGGCTGGATTTACATCGGAAAGGAAACTGAGAGCTAAGAAACAAAAACCATTTAATTATCTCATTCCTTCATACAATTAGGAACAATAGTTTCTGCTAGCCAACCCACCTGAAAAAGCAAAAACGTCAAAGCAACAAGGTAAATGACAGCCATTCCGTGAACCAGGCGCCAAATGGCAGGATGTGGCCTAATGAGCACCCTGTAAAGAAAGAACATCAAAGAGAACTATGGTAAAAGACTATAGCTCATAAATTGCACTTAATTGATTAACAATACAAATTAATTGATAAACCAAAGAGGAGTTAAAAGAAACTCCAACTTCTAGCACTTCCACAAGACCACAACCAAAAGTGAACATCATACCTTCTTTTTATTCAAGAAGTGGTAAAGTAGAAGTGGAGAGAACACTCGATAAATAAGATATACAAAGAATAAATGCAGACATGCAGTCATGTCTTAGTAATTCTTTTAGGTGAATCATTTCACCAATCACATTTTAACAACTGTCACCCCAAAAAAAACGGAGAGAGAGAGAGGTGTAGCAACAACTCACGTCGAGGGGGCTTGGAGCAGAGAGTAAGCAAGGTACACTGCAATCATTGCCCAAACACCCCTAAAAGAGGCACAAAACGACTTTTACTTTCTCGTGAAAATTATGAAAGAATATAAACAGAAATGTCATGTTATAAGGTGCACACCTTTTCACAGATGTCACAAGATCACCAGAAGGAGTGCTTTGTGGATTAAGAGCTCCACTTGCCCAGCTGCAATCATGATGGCATAAGCAAGTAAAAAAAATGATATTGGCTTTAGAAAAAAATAGGAAAACTTCATAATAGAAAGCAAAAAAGAAAGGAACCAATAATTAGTAAGGCATCCTATTTATCAGATGCTTTTGTCGACCACAATTGTAAACTTCTTCTTTTTTTTTTGATGAAGTAAGAAGGTCCACCACAATCGTAAACTTAGTAAGACCTCAGATACGACAGAGCGAAACTTTTCAACTATGTATGCCACTGGCCGCGGAAAATAGGAAGAAGCTTGGTAATGTTCGAGCAAAGTTACAGAAAGGATTAACAATCAGTAAATGAGTAAGGAAGAGATCATACAGAACATTGCAAGTGCTTTTCTCTACCAAACCCTTGAGCTCAACAAGAGCTCAAATACATTAGGAAAGACGACTATGAAAGAGGCACATACAGAAAGGGAAAAAAACACGTCTTCACTAATCTTAAGTAATTCTGAATACTGTTGCTAAATCCAAGAGGAGATTATGATAGAAGAGCTCCGAATAGCATCTTGGTAAATTTTATACTCAATGTTTCTTTTGTGGATAATCACATTATTAATCGGAAATTTTGTATCTGCCAAAACCGTACATACAGAAAATCTCCACAAGATCATCTTGACAGTGTGCAACCTTCTAACTGTCATAAGTGTTTTCCCCCCTCAAAGGGTTTCTGAGGAGCGGGAATTACTATTGTTTTAGTTTTTTTTCCCCATCATTTCTTTAATTTTCACTCATACAAAAGTTCAAGATTTAGAAGAGCCAATTATGTTGAATCTAAAGTAATTGCTCCTTTCAATGAGAAACTATATGGAGCTCCAAATGCAGGATCCCATATAATATACATGTGTAAGATTTTCTAATCCACTTTCTCCCTACAAGTTATAATTTGTTTGAGATAAGGAAATGCAGTAATCTAGAGCTTCCTTTTGTAATCCTACACCATACCAAAACAAGTAAATAAAGAATCAGACAATACCAATATTTATGATACAGAATACAGTATAAAGATTCAAAGATTAGTTTACCTTATCAAAAAAAAAATAAAGTGTGCAGATTCAAAGAAACATGAGAATGTGACATGAGAAAATAGAATTCCTTCCATAAATTTCCTCAGTCCAAAAAAAGTTGTCAAGAAAAATTATAACCGTTAACCGCAATAATTTCACCTATGCTTATGGAGTCTATAGTCTATACATCAACAAACTTACATGAGTAAACATGCACCAATAAGCAACAACGTAATAGTACGAGGTTTGTACGCCCAAGCAGTCCATGGATCTAGCTCATCATCAATATTCAATGTGCTAAGACCGCCATTTTGTAAGGTAACATAATTCTTTTTGTTACTCTTTCTATGCCCATTAGGCTCCATACGCCTAGTTTGCCAGAATTCAACTCCTTAAGCCTTTTCACTGCACAAAAAAGATAAATGGGACTATGATTACCAGTTCATATAGTGATTCTAGTTGTGAAAAATAAGGAGTACATTTTTAAAAATCGATTGAACATCATGAAGGATGCTACTTATTTGCCTCAAGCTAGTATAGAACAAACAAATGACAATAGATTTTATCAAAGGTACCTTGTCAAATACTACAAACTTATGAAAACTAAATCATTATTGCAAATCCTAGAAAAGTAAGCAAGACTTCCTTCCGCAACAGGAGAATAAAGAAGATGGAAAGTGAAGGAAAAGCAAATACAATCTTTTTATTGAGAATGGTAAACTAAAAGCAAACCCAATCTAAAAGAAAATTTGCAAGTAAAGATAGGAATCCTATACAATAACTCAAGGATATACAAGAAAGTCTGTCACCTTCACCCCAAATAAAATGGAAATTACCAACAATAATCCATTGTATTTCGGACTTTAGCTCTCTATTTGTATCAAAACTGACCTTAAAGATATAGAAGCATACAGAAACAAAAAGCAACTTCAAAATTAAAAATAAAATTTATATCTCAGTAAATGAGTGTGATTGATGGGAGCCTTGGCATAACTGGTAAAGTTGCTGCCATGTGACCAGTTGGTCACAGGTTCAAGCCGTGAAAACAGCCTCTTGCTAAGGCTGCGTAGGATAGATGGTCTGGCCCTTCCCCGGACCCCGCACATAGCGGTAGCTTAGTGCATCGGACTGCCCTTGCCTATATGAGTGTGATTATATTCAGCTTCTATGTATATAGCATACAAACCTATCTTCAGCAAAATGATAAGTTCCTAAATTTTAGAATCTAGTAATCCTAATTCAGTTTAGAATCTTTTCTAATTCATCAACACAATATATCCTAGATACTAAAATAACACTTTTCTTGGCGAGTTTAGAGTTGACCGTTAGAACAACAATAAGAACAATTCACACAACTACCCACCAGCAAATTACAGTAGTAACTTCTAAATCATATTTACCAATTAACCAAAAATCAGTTCTTTACTAATACCACAAAGAGTTAACTATTCAATCATAAACCCACCTAAATCACACAAATCCAATACCCAAAAACAGAAACGGAAGGAGTGTAACTATCAAATGAAAATCAAACAATAAGGGCATTCAAAAAAAATTCCAAATTGTAACGTACATAGTGCATGCCAATCACAAATTCCTTCAAAAATGCAAAAAACTATTAATTTATATATAATACTTATTACGTAAACGCTACAGTAAGAAAAAAACCCAGTTTTTAGTTACAGTAATATACTCAGTTAGCTATATAATACATTCATATATACATACATAAATCTATTTATGGAAAAAGTATAACTAAAAAGTATGGACAGAGAGAAACTTACGTAGAGAAGACAAAAATAAACTAAAAAAAGAAAAGCTGACAAATAACAGACTGAGAGGGTAAATATTGGCCGTTGGATCAAAGAAAGGGGAAATGTTTTTGAAAAATGGAGAAATGGGTTTTGTAGTTAATTAACTGTTTAACTAAAATGAATCAAATTTATTGAGATTGTAATGAATCAAAAGGCGAAAAGATTGATTTTTAAAAGAAAAAAGCAAACTTTTTTTTCTTCTTTTTGAGAGGAAAAAAGGTGGAAAGGAGAAAGGTGACTGAAGTTCTCTGGCAGTAAACAGCGGCGAAAGGCGGTGATTTTAGAGAGAGAAAGAGAAGAAGGAGAAAATAGAGAGAGAAAGTGCGTTTTTTTTTTTTGGGTCAAACATAGATTTGGTTTGAAGATTATAAGGAGTATTTATTATGGATTTTAAGTTATATATAGTGATACTTGACAGAGCAGATAAGATTTCTCGTTATTAATTAAATATTTGGATTTAAACTTTAAAATTAGAAAAAATCTTAGTAAAGAGTATTTTTCGTTCTAATGGATGTTGTGCAGTTCGAATTTGAATTAGTGGAACATTAAGACGAATACCAAACCTCAAGTGAAAAATCAAGAAACATTAAAATGATTCTTTTTGAATTAATCGAAACTTCAAAGAAATAGGAAATTAATAAAAAGTTATAAGCATAACAATAGCTAAAAAATTCTTTTTAATTATTAGTGAATTGTATTTGCGATTTTTATATAGTTAGTGAATATAGTAGTTAAACTTATTTATTATTGTTTCTTTAAGGTATAATATTTTTAGGAAAATAATAGGTCGGGAGAAATAAAGAAAAAAATGGCAGCATGATACACAAAGTATTTTATGTTTACGTAGAATTCGTGTCATATATAATTCGAAAAATGACCGCATCCAAAGGAATTTGATGTAAGTAGTCTACCCTGACGTAGACGGGTTGGAGGAATTTGATGTAAATTAAAGATTTTGCTAAAGTGCCCTTTTTGAATATTCTCTTATTTAAGAGTTATAGGATTATGTATGTACTTCAGGTATATGCTCTACTGTTTGGTACCTGTACTGTGCTTTGAAATGACGAAAGTACCCTTTGCCTAGGGACAATAATTTTTGGTAACGTTTGTCTTCTGCTTCTCTAATTATAGTGTACTATTTGATATAGATTTTATCAAGAAAAAATGATTTCTTAAGTATTTACCATTAACTAAGAGGAGAATTTTTTTTGTCAAATGTCTCTATCACTATTTCAGCAATTGAGGGGATTTTGATAAAATTAATGAATAACGCGAATTCATTATATGCATAAAATAAATTACTTGTATTATTTACGCTATTGTAATTACTCAACTGAAGACATCAAGTTACTATTATTTGTATCTAAAATCGTGTAAGAGAGATGAACTTAATTTTTTCTTTAATTAGCACGATATTTAGTTTAATATTTCTTTTTATAGTATGAAAAAAATGCTAGACAATTTCTTTTAACACTATGTAAGCTCATATTGTATAAGAATAGTAAACTTATTTTTTCCCCACCTTTTTCTTCTTGAAGTACTTTTGAACTAGAAATAGTGTTTAATCTAAAAAATATTTAACCTTTTATATATGGATTACACAAATAATTTTGAAGAAATTAAGAATGCTTTACATTACAAGTTATTTGAGTGTGTTTAGTAGTAAATAAAGTTGACTAATCTACAAATTTTGAAAAGTTTCAAATAGGAGAAAGGAAAGAAGAGTAGGTATTTGCTTTAATAGAAAGAGGAGGAAGAAAAGGGAACATGAATTTGTGTTGCTTTTTAAACATGATATCTATCATTTTGGAATATTCTTGGAGATCGAATATAATTTTTGTGTGAATAAAATATCTAAAATTAAATAACCATGATATTATCCCAAATTGACTTTGATTGAGATGATAAAAAAAGGGAAGCAAAATAATTTTTCTTCTTTTTGTAAAAGGAAAAAGTACATACATATGGAAAAAAGAAGTTCATTAATCTATTGAACTCTGATTTCCCCATAAAATTATATAAGGTTTTTTATTTAAGAGAAAAAGATAACATGAAATAGTAAAGTCTTCTTGCCTTCTAATGAAAAATGAAATTTAAAAAAAAAAAATGAGGTTTGTCCCTTTTATATATCAAAAACTAAACACCACCTATGATTGAAAATGAAGCAATTAAATTTTAAATTATCCCCAAAAACAATTCGCTCATTACTTGTTTTAAATATTCGATTTTTTTCAATTCACACTCAAATCTTTCAAAAATAGTAATTAAACTTAATTCTAAAAGGTTTCTCCATTTGAAATCCAATTTTTGCTATTACTTTATTTTTTTCTTCTTTAATAGTATAAGAATATATCTCTTTTTCTTCCTTCTTATTGCCGGGGAAGAAAAGATATATTCTTTAAAAGTGAGTGCTAAAATGGGGGGAAAGACCAATTTATGGATATATATAAATAGGGGAAAGTTGGTAATTTTGACTTAAAATAGGGGGACAAAAAACAAATATAGGGGAGTAGGCATACTACTACTAGGCTTATAACCATTAAATTGCAATGGGGCCCAAAATTCCATTTATTTGCACTATTAAAGCCCTTTAACATCTGTAAAAGTACAAAACAACCACTTCTATTTGGTACAATTAAAATTAAAAAAGTGAGAGATTCCAAACAGAAAGAGACAATTTATTATTCGTCAACTCTTAGCTCAAGTGCTTACCATCTTTATCTTTTCATGCCCATTTTCTTATTCTTTCCTTTTCTTTTTCTTTTTTTTTATAATCTTGATCCGAGTTAGCTTGCGTGCAACTCAATTTTACGAAATGCATGTAATCTCCCGCTAATATAAATTTTGGATAACTTTATTCACCAAAACTTAAACAAATAATTAGACATACTTTCTTTTGATTAAAAGTTATTATTTTTTTGTTAAGAAAAACTAATGAATTTGGAGTACGAGTACCCAAATAATTGGCATTTCAACATTAAAAATAACATTTACATAGTAAAAAGCTTGATAAAATGTACTATAGATTGCATTTTTTATAATGAAAATATTTAATATGCAAAATTTATAAATAAAGAAAAGATTATTTGACTCTCCAAATAAAAATAGTATCATATAAAATAAAATTGGCGAAATAATATTTTATTGTATGGGTATCAATGTCCCATATTCTTGAATTTTACGTAACATGGAGTAATACATCCTGCACAACGTC